ATTTGTTCAAATAGAATTGGAAGTTATTCATTGTCTTCCCTGTATTATTGAAATATGTCATAGGTCATATGTTTCTTCCCCTGAAACAGTCTCCCCAATGCATTGCAATCAACCCATATTTTTCCTCAACCTCTGAATTGCTTATAGATTTGATTTGCTACCTAGCTCTGGCATAGAATATTATTCTAGGGGATACTGCAGCTACTATTGTCAATGGAACAGACCATCCTGGTCCATTCTTTCCAACAATGGACAGATAATGGGAGACTCAACCTAGTTAACAAAAGTGTTAGAAGTTTAGGTTATTTGACTTGCAAACAGGGTAAGCAAAGATAGAATGGGTTACCGAGGGCATCAACAGGCAAAGGTTTTCAGGTATTTCCTTTTCAAAGAATTTGGACATAAAAATAATTATTCGTGTGTAACCAATTATCAACAACATGGACCCCCCCCCCCCCCCCCCCCCCCCCACTTCATAAAATGGTATTGTATGTAAATATTATCAGAGAGAATGACTTACCCCTAGTATATAATGACAAACTTCTGGCTCCATTAAGTAAAGTGATACTTCTTGTAAATGAGTTGATTCTTTACATCTAGAATGGCAGAATACATACAGGTTATTTACTGACCAGGAGGTTTAAATATGAAAAACCTATGCCTGAAGTTTTGATTATACAGACCCAGGGCATTAGGCCAAATTACATTTTCAAGTCCGCTCGAGGACACAGTTTTTCCTTTAAGATGGTAAATAACTTAATATTCATTTGTTTTCCCATTGACTTTTTAACTTGTTTTGCAATTTTTGTTGTCGTTGTCAGATTAGTAATCTGTTATCCCAGGATTACCAGACCATGGTCAGAGACAGAGATCGAAATATAGCCCACTCACACAGCCAATCAGAATGCATGATTCTTAGGATACCAGGCTCATAAAATAAATATTTATAATAATATCTATGCTTAGGAGAAAAAAAATGGCTGTTTTTTTTTGTAAATGATGGTTTTTCTTACCTAAGTCTAACTTGTACTTGTCTTGGTTTACCAGTAAGATCACATATGTCACCTCCAGAATACAAATGCACTGCATAGCTGCTGGTGATGAGGATGATAGCAATGATGATGATGGTAATCATAAAGATTCATAGAAAGTAGTGATGATGATGTTGGTGGTGGTGTTGATGGTGTTGACCAGAAAATGGTGTCAGTTATGACGATGATATATTATTGGTTGTGGTTTTAGTAGCGGTGTGTTAGTCATGATCACAATGATTAAGACAAAGTATGATAATGGTATTATATTATAAATGAAAGTGGTAGTGGTGGTTGCAATGAAAATGATAAAATAATAAAATGAAAACGATAACAAAGAAAATGGATAAGACAAAAATGTAGCTTGAAAATTATAAATCAACTACAGATCTGGCAACAAAATGTAGAAAATTTTGTATTTCATACCCAACTGTCTTTGTCTTCTTACTTCTAATCCATTTAATATGTTCCTGCAAGGATAGGATACATTAACTTTCAATTGTTCTTTCAACCTTCTACAAATTGTTTCTCTCCCTTCCAATCTTTCCTTTCTAATACCTCAATTTATTCACTTTTCTTCCATCCTTTTTTTCATTTCCATCCTTTTCCCAAATCCCCTTCTCTTTCCACTGTTTAATTCTTTCTTCTATTCAACCTTTAATCATTTCTTTTCTTTTTTCCTTCCATTTACTTTACCCTTTACTGAATCCCTCCATCCCTTTCATGATTTGCTCATTTATTCGTACAGTATTCTACTTACTGTTATGGAGCTTGTTTATCAGTTTGCTGTCTTAGTCACATCATTATTTCTCGCAATTCTCAATTTTACATACCTCCTTGTTCCACTTTCCCAGTAATACATCTGTACGACCACCATGCTCCTGATTAAACAATATTTATAATTATTATCCCTCAAGGTGAAGTGATTATCGATGGAATATTTACAAAGCCATAAGTATTTGATAGATAAGGTAAATGTTCACCATAATCAGAGTCTAAGGGGAATAATTGCTTAAGTATAATTTTAACTCTTAAATATCAGAGAAAAAACGAAATTCAGGATAAAAAAAACCTTTTAGCATTATTTCCAAGCAAACTTTGGGAAACCTCATAAGTGATCATTGTCTCAGAACCACTGGTCATTCGACCAATCACAGCACGAGAAACTCTATATTCAAGTCTAAAATTATACTAATTAACAATTTCTCCTCTCAATCAATGGTTGCTCTACCAATCACAGCACAAGAAACTCTATATTTTATTCAAGTCTAGAATTATACTAAACCAAAATAACATTACATAACGATTATGACAATGGTCTAAAAGAAAAGTCTGATGGATTAAAAGTACCAACCTCATCCACATGAAACTGTAGAACTCTCTTGCCATAACACAGCTCATACTTCCACCATCCAGTTCCCTGTAAACCAAAGTACAAAGTACAAAAACTGCTAATTATTCTAAGTTGATCTGGAAGGGCCTAGATGAAAACTACTTCGTGTAATTCTCTCTCCTAGGCCAATCAAAAAAATCATTGTGTTTCCTGTTGTGCAACTGACCCTAATTTTCTTGCCGATTTTTGCCGACCCTAATATTTTTTTCATTCCCAAATGCACCACAGGGTTCCCAGTAAGCTCATTTCCACTGTTGTATCAGTACAATAATATCCGACCTACCGACCTCAATTATTTTTCTCATGCAACAGGAAACACACTAATTTTTTTTTTGTCCTTACCTCATCTTACCTCTTGTCAGCTGATCATCAGGTAATGGTACATGGACCCAGGGTTTATTATAATAATACTGTATAATAAATGGACACAGGATATATATACTGTACCTACCCCTTGTAAGCAGTAATTGCCATTCAGGAAATCTCTAGTCAGCTGATCATCAGGTAATGGTACCTGGACCCTGGGTTTATTATAATAATACTGTATAATAAATGGACACAGTATATATATACTATACCTACCCCTTGTAAGCAGTAATCGCCATTCAAGAAATCCCTAGTCAGCTGATCATCAGGTAATGGTACCTGGTCCCTGGGTGTGACAGGTTTGGTGACTGGAGTGGGTTTTGTTGGTTCTGGTTCATCTGACTCTGGTTTTCCTTGTTCAAATAATATTGTCTACAAGATAAATACAAATTCTTACATTACGTTACATCACCTTGTACTGTGTTATTCAATGATATGCTATACCAGTCTAGGCAAATGCAAGAATATGTGTAGTTCTTCAGATGCCCTGAGGACCGAGTGTCGGCTGTTTGTAGCTGTTCCACTCCCATTCCTCACCCATATCATGCTGTTTGTTAATTATTAGTTAACAACCATTTAATGGTCAACAGTCAGTCATTTGTTGATACACAATGGTAGGCTATCAGCTGTGCAATAGTGAGCTGACAACTTGGTCTGTTTTTTTTTTTTGGTGCTAATTACCTGCTAATTACGACATCTGAGTCTTAGTCATAAAACATTGTGGTATTTACCAAATGAGAAATGGGACTATTGAAGGGAGAAGGGTGTGGCAGCATTAATGTCTTAGTAGGAACCAAACATACCTGTCTTTCTCCTGTTCTGTCCAGATCCTGATCTTCTAGGAACTGAGTATAGCTCTGTGGCTGACTACATAAGAAAAGGAGTATTTGTGTTTAGTGTAGAATATTGTAGGGATAAACAACCAGTCATCAGTAATTGTTTGGCTAGAATTGGAACTGGTTATGCCAAACCTTTTCCTGGCAAGTCATTTTGACCAGTTTATTTTGAACCAGTGATCGACGTTTCGTCAGAAATAAGGTATATATGATTGAGCTAATACTAATTCGGCCAGACATGACTGGCAACTGACTAGAGTCATTTCTAGCCCTGGTGATGTAATTATAACAAATTACAAAATTACCAATTATGTTTCTTTTGATATTCATCAGTAATATGATCTCGTAAAGAATTTTCGACTTACTTTGCAGAACCATCAAGAGAGTGACAACTGATCTCGTGTACAGGGTCTTCTTCAAACCTATGAAAGTAATGAGGGAAAATATAAACAACAATGATATCTTGATCAGAAGTGGTTTTTTGTAGTTTTTGATGATGAAGTTAACCGATAAAATCAATGTTAACTGATGTTATCAAAGACGTTAAACGATGATATCAAAGATGGAAATTGTACTTTTTCAAGATTGTTTTTTTCTCAGAAAAAAGAAAGGACAGGGGTTAGAAAATCACCTGGAGCTCGTCATTTTTTTCCATAAAAAATTAGCTTGACAAAACATAATTTTACAACTTACCGAGCACAAACAAAAAAAAAAAACTCTAAAGATAACATCATCTTGATAAGGTATTTAGTAATGTTTACATACCTATAGAACTCATTAGAGCACAAGCTTGGTGTTATTACTTCCATTTCATAAACACATGTACTCATTTCCTTCACTGATAGGATCTATGACAAGAATTTGGGGTTCAATTACATATTGAATTTCCTATCCACTTTCCATAACATTTCACTGCCCAATCATAAAGTATTCAACTGAGGCTGCAAGGTTAGAATTTGAATAATCCTTTGAATGTTATAATTGGGTATTTGGGGGGTATGAATATTTTCTGGAATGACACAATAGATAATTATTATATAGTTTGTCAATCCAGAAAATATCCATACCCCCACCATGGAGGAAATTTGTAAAAGGACCCCCTACCCCCAGGAACTTCCAATTTTCTTTCATACAAACTCTGTAATTTTGTTCTTTCTCTGTCACTTCCCCTCCCCTCCCCTCCAGAATTTCCAGTTTTCTCTGTGGGTTAAACAGATGATGAACCGAAAATGAATATCCTGATTACAACTGCTTTAAAAAGGGCTTTAGAAAGTTTTGTTTGATCCAGCATAAAGTTAACCAACCTCATTATTGCCTTGTGGATGGCAGAAGTACAACACATGGATCTCTCTTGGTTTTCCTGATAACAGGTCACACGTTGTACCATTACCCATTACTACCTCAAAATACGGCATGTCACGCCCTTCTAGCTTCCTTGTCAGTGGCTAAAAAAAACAAAAAGCTGTGTCTATAAGTAATAGCATGACCTGAGGGTGATTAGCCTTTAAATGTCCCAAAAAGTTGAAGGATGTTTTGTTGAAGTCACTGGTGTATAAATTCATGAGGGATATTTAGACCTAATGTCCCTCCTCATTATTCATCCAGAAGGATGTTAGTGGTTAAACATCCTTCTGGAGACAATGGATCCATAGTTATAGTGTACAGTGTTTTTTTCCATAAGGGACTTTTTAACTGACTACTATTCTTATAGTGAATGAAAAAGACTGGTCAGTCAAACCCCTTAATATATCTGCACCTGTAAAAAGTTCCAGAGCAACTGGATTTAATAGACCCCTGCACTGAGTACCGAGAGGAAATGTTCTGGGGGACAAAACAATAGGCTGTCTTTTCTTATGCAAAAAAATCCATTGTTTTGTCCCCCAGAACAATTCCTCTTGACACTCAGTGCAAGGGGTCTATAATGCTACCCAGAGTGTCCATATTAAGGGGTAATCCTTGAAGTGGGGTTCAACTGTTAAAAGACCTAATCAAATGCCTTCAAAAGGAACCAGTAAAATACCTTTCTTGCTATATTTTTCCCATCTTTGTGATTTGTTATTGGAGGTTCAGGAATAGGCTTTGGTTCAGACACTAAAAGATAAAGTTCAATAACATATAATAAAAATGAAATTAATATGTGCTACTACTAATACCTCTTAAATATATCAGGTGCATATGATGGTATTCTGAGATGTTAATATCTCTTGTGGTGAGATGTTAATATCAATCAACATCATTACAGTAACAAAGCTTTATTTGCCCATTTAAGTTGCAATCCAAGATGGCCATCATATTATCGAAGTAGTACACTCAACTAACCTTTTCTATCTTTTTTGTCAGGAACATAGGCTTTTCCAAGAAAATACTCTTGTAACTTTACTCCCTAAAATAAAATTGTTATAACACTCAGTCAAACTGTCTGTATATCCATCCACCAGCAGATTTGTAATGAGATGAACATCAGCTGTGGTTTTCGCTAGTCCAAGCACTATGTGATTACAGTTTATTTGCATGTTCATTCATCAGTAGTCAGTTTACCATCTGTTCAGTTAGTCATGCAATCAGTCAGTTTGTTTATTTGAACAATAATATAATATAATATTAGTATGGACTGGGGGTGTCATGGTATACGGGAGGGGGGGGCGTCTTGGCTGGGGGCACTATGAAAAGGGGGCATCATGACCGTAAACCTAACTGATCTATCCATCGTCAATCCATCCATGGGTCAGTCCATCAGTTCATTGTTTAGTCAGCGAGTCAGTCTTTAAGTCAGTCTGTTGGTCAGTCAGTCGGTCAAACAGTATTAATCAGTCTCTATTGCCTGTCTGTCTGTCTGTCCATTGGTCCTTCAATGACCACCCATCCATCGATCAATCCTTCCAGGTGTTGAGTGCATGCAGGAACTAACCAATCACAGCGCACTAAGATGCTTAGCCAAGCGGCCCTAGTTCCAAATGTCTTTCAAATAGAAAAACATACGTTTCAAAGTATAGAGAAAAAAAATTGAAGTTTACATGATGCATTAAAAATTAAAATCTTTGCCATCCATCTCCTAAATTCAGAGAGATATGTGACTTTTAAGGTTTGGGCAAAGTCAGCTGGAATTACAGCAACAATCCTTTTTGCAATCAGTTTTTCGTATAGTTGGTCTGTCTCTTCATCAGTCATTGTCAATTTTCCATACTTTAGACTGTCACATCAATTTACTATCAAATGGTAACCATACCTTTTGGGTCCGTTCATCATGAAACTGCCTAACATGTTTCCCATGGCATAACTCATACGTCCAATAAGCTTCAAGCTAGAAAGAGTAAGTATACGAACATTCATGGTTTAAAGCTAGTGTATATATCTAACACACTTGTAACAAGCATTATCCATTTTCTTATCAATGAACGTTCCTTTTCATTTTCAAAAAAGAAAAAATAATGGGAACATAGATATCAAAGATACAAGTATAAAGTGGGGATAAAACCATCAATGAAGAAATTTGCATGCATTAAGGTGGTTGCCTACTTTTGAACATTCAATTTGAGCCCACAATGAGCTAGCGCTCAATAATCTACATTCAAGAACCATACACGTTTTGAACTTCAAGAGGGCAAAATCCTTAAATTTTTCATGGGACTTTATACTTTTTATAATACATTTATTGGAAAAAACTTCTAAAAATCTACTCGACCTTATGGATTTTTTTAGGGCACTAAAAGGACGAAATATAACAAATCAATGCAAAGTATGGTCTGGCCTATTACAAACTTACCCTGTACGAACACCTGGCTTCATCTGCTAATGGAGCAAGGAGTTCTTCAGGACTGGGACCATATCCATCTTCCCCAGAATATAACTAGTAATGATTATAGTAAATAAAAAACCCAGAATGTCAATAGAAAAATATTTAAATAAAAATGAACTGAATTATGTCAATGATAGTTTAAATGAGTTAAACTAAAAACGTATACCAGGGCCCAGTTGTTCAAAGCCCGATTAGTGCTAATCCTGGGTTAACTCTTTGCTTTGAACAACCCGGCCCAGTACTAGAAAGAGTACCTTTACTTTAGTCACCCTACAGAGATATTATATCAGCCAAGAAAACTTATGTTACAACTTATGTAAAAACATCTGTAAATTTGTCAATTTTCAACTTTAGTTTTCTCAGCCAATATAACACCTTTCATAACGAATCTTTCATAATGAATTCTATAGTTATAAATGAAAGAACAAAGGAATAAATGAATGAATGAATGAATGAATGAATGAATGAATAAATGAATGAGGGAACAAGGAATTCAAGAGATTTTGTTACATGCATGAGAGAGTGGTGAAATGAATGAACAAATGAATTCACCATCGTTTGCATCAAGGAATGAATGCCAGACATCAAAACATGTTATAAATGGCTCCTGAAACTTGAATGTTTGTTGACTAAAATGTCAAACATCATTTGGCATTTTAGCCAACAAACATGCAAGTTTCAGGAGAAAGTTAGAACATGTATCAATGTCTGGTGTTCTTGTTTGGATGCAAACAATAATAAAAGAACAAAGAAGTATATATTTAAATACTAGTAAAGGAATGAAAAGTTTTTCACTTGCCCTGAAGATTGGTGTGAAATTAATGGATAGATGAACAAGTGAATTAATGAGTAAGTAAAAACTGGACAAATTGTTTCACCTGCCCTAAATATAGAGAAATATTTCAAAAGTTCACAACTATCATTAAGGTCACTACCATCTTACTTGATATTTGATCAATACCTTATTTTTAATCTGTTCTGAAGGTAATAAACATCTGTATTTTTCATTATTATTAGTCATTATAAACACAGAATCATGACTACTAATATAGTCTTTGCCATCCTGAAAAATATAAGAAGTATGACAGAAACATTAGTGAACTAAGGATTACATCAAACATCACTCCACACATTTCTTTGTAGTTTATGATCAAAGTATCAGTAGTAAAGGGAGAAAGAAATACCCAAACACCCCAAAATATAAATCATAGTTACAAGTAATGTGAAATAAGCACATTAGCCACCCTTTGGGCTTCATAGGAATAAAATAAATTAAGGATTTATATACAAAGACATATATGAAGCACTTTTCGATGTTGAGTGTATGACGGCACAGACTTCAAAAAATAATCATAAAAATATCATACTTTCATCTTGAATATCGAGAAAACACTTCATACAGTGATTATTGGACCTTTAAAGAATATTCTTAGGAAGTTTCAGCTGAATCCAAGTTTGAGCGATTTTCGTCAGAGTAGCACTTTAACCACCAGACTGGTATTTACTGATGTCACATAAGAGTAAATGGTTTGAACCCAGGTGTTGAAGTTTGTTGTGAAATGTGATCGTCTGGATGATGTCACACATATAGCGCTACTTTGTTAGAGCATTATGTTTTCCCAGTTCAGACCACATGTCATTCCCTTGAGTATCATTTATTTCTTTGCCATTATGCGATGAAAAATATATTGATGAAACTGAGAAAATATTCTTTCTCAAGGGAATAACATTCAGTCTGTAATAGAAAAGGAACCATGTTTTTATCTAGATAAAATTTTTTTAAATTTCAATTGAGGCTTCTCATTTATTTATCTATACCAAATAGATTATCCTCTCACTAAAATAAGATTGAACAACAAAAAGAATAGAGTTAACAAAATAAGGTAAATTTATCTTTAAAATCGTTTGAGTAAACAACATTCATTCATAATGAGTGCTTATACTTAATCAATGAAACAGTACCAAGTTTATTTTGCACTAAAGAGTACAAAATAGTGTAATGTCTATGGTTTTTATTCATGGTTTCATTTAGTGTTATTTAGCACAAGCATTCTATGCATATCAATGTATAAGGTTTACAGATGGAGCAATCTGATTGGTTATTATGCTTATCTCAAGATAATTCAATATATGAGCTAGTCAGTAAATATCTAATAGGAACGCTTTCCAACAGCTGAAAAACAAAGCTGTTTTGAGCAAAGTTTTGTTTAATAAACTTATGCAAATTCTTCTCCAACAAACTCCCTGTAGGATAATCCCTAATGTTTTATAAAACGCTGCTTTCAAAAACAGTTTTGCTTCTTTCCTAAACAAGATGCAAAATGCGAAAATATAATATAATTATAAAAAATTATGCATATTTTCCTTATTCTTGAATTTTTATGGCTTTAAATCTGCGCATATGAATTTAAAATACATTTATCACAAATGAATATTTCATTTACCTGCCAAACACGAGAGAAAAATAACTGTTACATAATTTCAAGCATGATTTTTTTTCTTTTCTCGTGTCGTAAATTCTGATGTTTAGTATGCAATGTGAGCAATTAAAAGGTAGAATGGATGGTATTAAAGCTAAGACTAAACCTGAACAAATATCTTAGTATATAAAATAATGCAGAAGGTCGTAGACTTTACTGAGCTTACAAACCTGTGTAACTTGTCCTTCTCTCAGAGTTAACGGTCCGGCCCAAGTCACTCCAAATAAGATATTATCATTAAAATTATCAAAGCTAACTACAGTTAATACAAAAGAAGCCAAAAGGGCCCAAATAACGTAGAAATTTGTGAATAAATCCCTCATTTTGTTGGTGTTTTGGTTCCAGGTTCAGTTTGAATGTGTTTCGGTGGACGCCATCTTGTGCTTGCGTGTCAACATTGCCCAGGTAGACGCGGTCATGGTATAGTCAAAACGAGTCGAGTAGGGCAGAAACACAGGAGGCCCAAGCTAGCGGAACTTGATGGTATCGAATTACAAGGATCGTATCCTGATTAGATAAAAAGGAAAATATGATGAACGGAAGAAGGAAAAGAGGAAGTCACAAAGCTCCATATTTCTCATTCTGACCATTTCCGGTTGTTTTATCCAACTTTCCTGTTGGCTCGATCGCAAAGTGACTTTGACATATACGAGAGTAAATTAATGCATATCTAAAAGCAGCCTAGTTTTCTGTTAAAATATGCAAATATACATAACTGATAAGAGTTTTAATTCTTCGGTGGAGCTCTGAAATGGCTTTAGGGCCAAACAATGGTCCAAAACAGGGCTGCGATTTTATTGATTTGGGTAATACGTTGATACCAGTAAATACCCCCACCTCCCTCAGAGGCCTGAGTTTAAGTTTTGGAGATATTTTAGTGGAAAATTTAGGATTTCTTTTCCAGAGGTGATGGGTCGGCCGGTTAACGCCTCCCCTTCCCTTTAAATGGAGTATTGTGACTTTTCCGGCGGAAGTGTGTCATTCGATCCGCAACGTGACAGAAACTGACTGACCCCTGACTGATCAATGACTAAGCAAAGTTTAAAAATTGGAAGGAACTGAAGAAAGATGCCAGGGATGTACCTTGTTTGTCGTTGTTGTTTGTTCCGCTTGTCGTTGTTTTTGTTTTGTCTGTTGGTGTTGTTGTTCTTTTTCTTCTTCTCCTCCTCCTTCTTCTTCTCCTTCTTCTTCTTGTTTTTAGCACGTCTCGAAAATCTCACAAACGGAAAGACAATTAAAGGCGTAAGTCAGTGAGAAACTTGCGAAAGCAAAATCCAACCTCATCATGAGTATATCAGTTTTATGTCAAAAGTCACAAGACCTGATAATAGATATTACGAACTAGCACGTTGACGGTGAAGATGGGCTAGTTACACGTACTCCCTTCCTCACTCGCCGGATGTTTATCGATTTTTTTTCCGGAGATGTTCGGGAAACCACTAAAACTAGGGATTGTTCCAGATTCTCAATTCAAGAACATTAAACAGCACATATTTCCTTTATATATTTATATAATATTTTAGGGGCTCATTAGAGAAGGATTGAAAAACTGATTTAATGCAAGCAAAATGTTCGACAAGATTTGAATTTAGTTTCTAACTAAAAAATTGAGAAAATTGTTTCTAAAAAAGAGTTGCCCAGAGTTGCATGGTTTAGTCCCAAGGTGCGAAGGGTCGCGTAACGTTAAAAGGTTTCTGTTTTTCCCCCCGTCAGTTCCTCTAATTCATTCTAGAAAATATGTCTTTCGTAAGGAAGTTTTTTGCCCTCAGTTCATGAGCTAGTCTTTATTATTGTAAAGCTCTTCACTCCCTTCCAGCTTCTTTCTTGTCTCATATTTTACAAAGCTCATTATAATATTAAAATTATTGCGCTGAAAATGCCTTTAACTTTGAACTTTTTTTTAGTTTGAATCGTGCGTGCAATGCGCTTCTATTAGTCAGCCATAAACGAGTGCGCGTCCCGTCCCAACTGAAGGTCAGTATTGCACTCGACCTCATATGGCGTATCAATCAGGATGCTTTGCGGCCAACCCGATAATTCCTGATTTCTGATTCCAATAATCGGGTTGGCCGCAAAGCATCCTGATTGTATTGCATTTCATTACACGCGTTGGAAACCTGACAGGCCGTCCAAGCTAATATTTTTACAAATTTTACATTTTCTTCTTTTAATTTCAAAATATTTACAAACCTTCATGTATCCACTGGGAGTTATTTATACCGGTAATTCAAGCTTTTTTCGGAAATGTCCCCCCTCCCCCCCCCCCCCCCCCTGGCTAATACAAGTGTGGTTTAAAAAGGCGGTGATATTTTTACAAATTTCTTCTTTTAACTTTAAAAGCTTGTTTGTAAAAATATCACTGTCTTTTTAGCGACAGGATATTGCCTGGGAAGCCTGTGCTGAGACGTGTATTTTAGACTTACCTACTTTCCGTTAATGACGTCAGTGATCCTTGTTCTTCCTGTGTCAGACTGTATATAATATCCAGTCAGCCCGGGGACGGTTCATACCAGCAGAGTACGACACAACAAAGAAAGTAGCTATCTATTCCAAGATGAAAGTACCAACGCTTCTCAGTGCAGCTTTTTTGGTAGCTGCTTTGACACTAAGCCAAGCCTCGTCTGGTCGCGACGATGAAATGTTCGAATTTGCCAGAAGGAAACTTGACAAAGTTTCCACGACAGTAAGGAAAAGCTGGAGAGTGAAATCAGTTGCACCTCTTCCAGGAAAAAGAAGAAGAGTCATTTCTACTGGGTTGAATAATCAGTATCTGAGTGCTCGCATGCAAGTAAATAAAGGTGAGGGGGGAATGAAATGTTCACTGAAAAAACATTCATTTGTCTTGTTTGCGCTTTCTTGTGAATGGGACGCCGCATAGCCCGAGGATCATTGCATGTCTCTTTTTGGGACCTCAAGCTTCATTTTAAGTTATTGATTAACCATCATGAGTGAAGGATCGTTATATTCGATGGTCAATGAGGCTAGCCCTTTTCTATTTCAAATTTCTTTTGAGTGTGTCATAGAGTTAGGAGGTTTTTTTTGAAGTTGTCTTTGTTGTTTTTGTGACTATCTTTACGGACGCCTTGTTCTCCAGTTTTCCTTTCTCCGTAAAAATGTTGATTTTCCTTCTGCAGAGAGACGTAACTTTTAAAATGTCCCATATTTGCTTCCCTATAACAGTTATAATGATCCACACACTAATGCCTTTTTATTTAATACAGCCATGGCAGAGGCACATGGTATGCAGCGTACCTTTTCTGATGGTATGATCAAGTCCACTGCACTCCTTGCGGCACGATCAAAGAAAACCACGCAGGCCCTTTCCGCGGTTGGTCTCGGTCTTTACAATGACTATCAGAAGTACGAGGACTGCCAGAAGAAAGGGTCCAAGGGATGTGAGGCTCCGGCAGGTATCGTCGATCAGGTAAGAAAACGAACAAGAAAGTATAAGAGTTTTGATGTGTTTGAAGACGTAGGGTAGTGTGTCTCATACGCAGCCACTATTAGTGTCGTCACGCAATGAGCGTTGCGTGACGTGTAGTAATAGCGGCTGCGTAGGAGACTAGTAGGGTAGAGGATGGCATCATTGAGTCAGCCTAACGGTTTTGTAATGAGTGACCGCATTCTTAGGATGAACATTTTTGTTTTTGTACCCGGAAAGTATGAAATATAAAAGGAGTCCATGTGCATGGTAAGCTGAGTTAGGTTACACGCGCAGGAATTCAAAAAAGTCGGTACGCTTGCTGATTGACGTCATTTCCGCTCACGATCTATGTCGAGTTATTGACCAATCAACCAGAGCACGCGTTTTATTTGAATTATTTGATTCAATGCTATTGTATGTTGGTTTTGCTGCAGTTGAGAAGCCTTCTTGGAGACGCAGGATTCGATGATCTAATGAGCGTCAATGGAGATGTATCGCTTGTGTTCGCCATTGACACGACCGGGAGCATGGGAGAAGAGATCACAGCAGCTAAAAACATCATTCACGCCATAGCCAGTTACCCACGTGAGGGAAATGTGAATTATATCTTGTCACCATTCAAAGATCCAGGTTAGTAAGAAGGCTGATTCTCCTCTCCTCTCCTCTTCTCTCTGAGTTAATGAAGAAATAGAAAACGCGCGCGCGTGCTGTGTGCTGTCATAAAGCACGCGGGGGTTGGCAGAACACGAGAGAAGTGTTAGGAGAAGCACGACGCATAGCGGAGTGCTTCTGGACACTTCTCGAGTGTTCTGCCAATCCCCAAGTGCTTTATAACTGCACACAGCACAGCAAACAAGTTGTTTTTTTTTTTCTTTTATGAAGACGAATTACAATAATATAGAAATGACGCAATGGAAAGTGCGCGCGCGTGCAATGTGCTCTCATAAAGCACGCGCTCCAAACCAATTAGAACGCGACATTCATAACAGTTATTTTATAATCTCATGTATTTCTACATCACAGGTACAGGTCCTGTAACCAAACATACCCTCATAAACCAGTTCAAGGCCAAGGTGAATGGGCTATCTGCCTCAGGTGGCGGCGATTGCAAAGAACTCACGATGCACGGAATAATTGATGCTATCAATAAGGGTGTTCCTCGTAGAAAATCCCCCATATTCGTCTTTACCGACGCTGGGCCAAAAGATGAAGAGTTTAGTGAAGAATACAACACAGAGAACGCGGTGGGATTAGCCTTGGACCAGGATTCGCCCATCAACTTCTTTTTCAGCACCAGTCCAGGTAGTTGTCAAAAGCCGCAAACCTTTGAATCTTTCCAAAGACTGATTGAAGAAACCGAAGGTATTGGAGTCATGTTCAACTCTGGAAGTAAAATCAGCGAAATGAGTGACGTTGTCATGGCATCACTAGATGGTATGACGACAATCAAATCAGGGGGTACAGGACGAAGAGGACCCCCGTCTCGCAGGGTGATACCTCCAGTAGGAGGACCTTCCTTCTCAAAGAGATACGCCATACCCGTTGATGAAACAGTCGACAAACTCATCTTGGTCATTACAGTGCAGCGCAATCCACAGTTTGTTCAATTACAAGATCCACGCAACATAGCTGTTGCCATCACGCACCGATTGTCTTATGGAGCTGTTTGGGTCATCAATCGACCAAGGCGAGGAACGTGGGGCCTGGTTGTACCCAGTAGTGTTGGTAGCCACAGCTTTAAAGTCACATCAAGCAGTCGAGTCAATATTGATTTTGATCACTACTTCTTTTGGACCTTACCGAGGTACAGGAGTGTAGAAATCCCCATAACTCATCCTTTGAAGAGTAAGTATTATTACTAGATAGTCCTTTGAATAAAGGCTTCATCACGTGATGGCAACCATGACAGGAGGCACAACAATAGTCGTTTTCCCCTGGGAAACTGAATTCTTTCTCATGTTAATCAGATTATACCAGATTAATCAATTCAATTGTTCCTGCCTCCTGTCATGGCTGCCATCACGTGATGGTGCAAAGCCTCTATTAGAGGGTAAATCTTGCAGAAGGGAGGAGAGATTTCGGGTTTTCTCATTCGCTCCACTGCTACCCTCAAGCTGAAATACGTAAACCTGTCTCATGAAGTGTTTATAATTTCCCGCATGTCCCTGTGATCAAGCCCCACCCAGCCCTCCCCTAATTTGACCAGCTCTCAGACCCCTCTCTCCTTCAAATCAGTGTCCATAAATTCTGTCATCTTTGATTCTTCTACAGACACACTTGCCAGAGTAAAACTACTAATCCCGCTGAAGGAGAAGTTAAACATAAACAGCCTGATCGTGGACGTAATTCGCGTGGATGATGGAACGATTATAAAACGTGCTTCTCTCAGTGGAATCACCGCCTCGTTCCACCCGCCATCCGAACCCTTTAAACTACGCCTCAGGGGCTTGACCGCCAGTGGATTCCCTTTTGAGCGTATCTCACGTACAGTCATCCGTGCTAAGTCAACTATTATCAGAATGGTCTACAATCGTAATTACTTGACTCTACCAAGTGGGCGCGCTCGTTTATCGGTGCGGTTTGCAATCCACAATAATGGCCCCACGACCCATTTTGATTACCGGCTTACTACGACGGTACGCGGTATTACGATAGCTCAACCCAGGGCATCTCGATTTCCCGTATCGTTGGGTAAATATCGGTACTTTTCTGCCCGGATTACTGTGTCTTCGCGCTTGAGTCCTGGTACATTGGTACCTGTGGTGGTCACGGCTAAAAAACGATCGACTCGCAAGACTGAAGCTAGTTTACGTGTTCACTTTATCATCACCGCAAGCAGACATTAGCTATTCGGGGCCGATAGTGAGACAGTTGCCCGCAACTTAAAGTAAAGAACCCTCAGTTGTGAAGGCACTGAATAGACATGCATTCAATCAAAAGAAATCTGCTTCGAACCTAACAAATTACAATGTATTTTAGTTTAAGCAATAAAGTGTTTTATACGAAACCCATCCTTTGATTCACTCGCAAATATTAGGGGTATGTTAGTTTTAAAAGCGACGCTAAAAAAGAAAGGAGTCATAGGAAAGAGAAGGGAAGTGAAAGAGATGGGAACGGCAGGAAAGGAAAAAGAAGGGAATCTCGTTATTCTGGCCACTTATTCCTTTACCTCAAACCTTAAGTGTACCGCTATTATTACTAGTAACAACACTAATTTCAAAGGCACATTACTAGAGTAAAACAAAAATCAAATAAATAAACAAACAAACAATTAAATAAATAAATAAATAGATAAATAAATAAACCCCCACATGCTATTTGCCACTAAACCGCGCAAATATATAGATTTATTGATCTAACACAAAGAAACTAAGCATTCAATGGAGGTTGTGGTGGAGCAATTTGCAGCCTCCATCGACTCAGTCCGTTCCCTTATTCGGACACAGGAGTCCCGTTCAACTAGTTCAACTTACCAAAGACTGATTTTAGACAATGTCAGACAAGACTGAATAATGAAAACTTTATTTCCCTTGCACTGTTTTGATAGCGCAACATTTGCAATTATGTACAAGCAAATATCTCAAAACTGTAATCTAACAAACTAAATACTAAATAAAGCTTAAAACAATGATTTTACAAATAATCTACTTGCTTTTTCTATTAACTATCAAATCACGACATTCAGTTATAAAATATTCGAGATGTGCTATTATTTAATGTATTGTCTTAGATTATCCAAGCTAAGCTGTCGTTCGTCTAGCTTTACAGCCTGATTTTCACTCACTGGTTTTGCATCGACGGCAATAGACTAACTAACCTCACCCCCTCCCCTGGGGGAGAATTGAGTCCAGAGACAATGCTTGAACATTAGTGTAGTTCAAGGCATAGTATATCCTCATGCAGCAGCCATGTTTATTCCCATGAAAATTGTATGCCTAAATAAAATTATCCTGAAGCACTAATATGCATAGTCTCACCTGTGGCCGTTTTTAGTGTCAACACTAAGAACAACTAGGGGGAGACTATAACATGCAAGGCTTTGCAAAAAATCTACTGATTTGGCCAATATGAGTGATATGAAAGGTCCATAGTCTGATAAAAGAAAACGAACCCGCATCAGCTGGGATGAAAAATGAACTAAGAAAATAAATTACTAATAATAATATCTATAGGTAAATACAAAAAATGATGTTAATAACTTGAAAGTTACCTTTTTTCGAATCCATAGCTTGCTACATAAGACACATCTTATTTATCCAGATTAAAAAAATTGTTATGTTATTAGCTTGCTCAGTGTTAGAAATTTTGATTTAAAGTTCGCAAGGCTTATCACCTATTCTTTAAAACTATGTATCATATTCTTGGTTATTCAGAGCAGAAGTGATTGGCTGGTAATCTAAGGGAATGTGAATGCTGTAACATTAAAATGGTTCTTCATAACGTGTTCAGTACTTATCCTCTTTGTATATAGACCTCTTTACCTTGAGCCTAATGTTTTCTCGATCATGTCATTCCCCAGAGTATCATTTCTTTGTTTACCGGTTGTGCATGGGAAGACACATGACTATGGATACAACTCAAACAAAGAATCTTATATATTCTAAGGTCTGAAATGGGAAAACATTATGCCAAAGGTAATGCTCTATTGACAGTGACAAAGACCTTCCTTAAAAACCAGCTGTTCTTATTTCAGGTAACCGGCTAGTTTGAACATAAACAGGAATTTGGGAGTAGAAATTTTGGCACTGAAATATATTCAATCCTATTAAACAAAAATATTTATATTGGGGGGAGGGGGTTAGGGGATAACAATGTCTTTATAACACTAAAAGACTGAATGAAAATGCTGTAGAAACTCTATTTGGGGGAATGGAGGGTGGGGTGAGTGGTGCTAGCCCTCCCATACTAAATAAGTGCACATTGGAATATTTTTGACTTAAATATGATTAAATGATTAAACACATAACTACTGAAACATCAATAACATGGGATATACGTGCATAACTTGAAAGGGAGATAAATTAACTTTGTTTATAAAAAAACGAAATCCTGGTCCAAAGAACAAGGATCATACAATCAGATTTTAAAGTAGTTTGACAGGAAAACTCTGATCCCAACCAAACTACCTAGTATTAATTTTATACATATATAAAACCTATGCGAAATATTTTCACAATTGGAAGCAAAGTTTTAAAAATCATTATGAGCTTTGTGCTTATTGATCAGAATTATCACTCTGGGCTGCTGATTACAAATAGATGGAACAATAGACCCCTTGCATGTGACATCAATGCAGCTCAATTTGGAGCACAAGATAAGGGAAGTTCGATCTCTATACCTATTATTTAGCCCCCTAAATTGAGCTGCATTCTGAAGTGCTGCAAGGGTCTATTAACTTGCCATGGTTGATCATATGGTTATTGGTTGCTAAGTTCATTGGCATACTCTCTCCAAATTTATGCACAGCAGGTCACAGCAGCTAATCAATCATTGCTGATCCATTGATTGTCCAATAGTCATCGGTATTTGGTATAGACTATTACTCTAGCAGATTACTGCATAGAGTATGCTGAAACATGCTGTGAGAAGTTTTAATTTTCTGATGACAGGTGACTGAGGCATTTTTGGCAAATTTTTGCACCCATCAACCATTGTAGCCCAGAGCAGAGCAGAGCAGAGTTGCAAAAGGTAGAGTGAGTGGGTTCAGATGTTAAACTTCTCATTCTTATAGTTTTGTTGAATCAAATCATATCAAAGAATGCTGTCTAGGAATAATTCAACAGACCTCTTTACCTTGCTATTGTGTGTAATGTTTTCCCAGTTCAGACCATGTGCCATTCCCTAGAGTATTATTTCTTTGCTTAACAGTAGCACGTGAGAAGACATTTAATCCATTTAGATACAACTCAATCAGAGAATCATAAGAGAATAACACATGGTCTTAAATGGGAAAACATTATGGCCAAGATAAACAGGTCTATACCAAACAAGTCCTAAACAAAAATGCAACCCAATGTTAACCATTGAGTAAAGGAGGATTCAGGTTAAGACTGCCTGCAGCCATTCATTACCTCTCCAGGGTCATTTATATTACACCCAATAGTTTATTACGAGGCCACCATTAGGGAATTCTCAAGTTATGCCCTTAAATTTTAAAGGGGAAAACTTCATTGGTGCTTTCAAAACTGGCAACTAAATAGAGGTTGGCCTCTTAATATGTTACTGAAAATCAGAGTTTCAACTTTATTTCCTGGTGTAGTCCTCATAGCACATTCAAAATTAGCATTAAAAGTACTTTAGGAGGCTATAGTCTTGTTTGCTCAGATCTTATTGACATCACGTTGTAGAATGTAACCATGAAAACATTTCTTAAAGCTACCTTTTAACATTGTGATCAATTTTTTTGAGCCTCAAACTTCATGGGAAAGATCACTGAATATGGAAATAGTCTTAGAGGGTTTTTATACAAACTTCCACAATTTACAGAAACCAAAAATATGCCAGTTCTGAAGCAGTGTGGGTTGCAGAAACATAGAAAATACTCCAAGGTGCAATAATAAACAACCCTTCTCCTTTCAGGGATGGATAAGGTATGATGCTGAATGCCGTCACCAGGATCAGTCCATACCCTTACAATTGATTTCAAAGATTGTATGCCTAATTTAAGAATAAAGAAGTATTGTGTCTAGTATTCTATCTTAACATGACACTAGATTTCTTGCTGTGGTTTAAAGAATCAAAGAATTTTATGAATCCAAGGTAATAAATACCACTTGATAAGTGATGATGGCAAGAAAATCTGTATATTTATATCCTAGTACCTCCATGTCTTGCACATTAAGGAGCCATTGCTCTACCAAACTCCTGGAAAGGAGAAGCAAGAAAAGATTGGTATCAGTTGATTATAACTCAGATATCAAAACAGGCAGGCAATCAACTTTGTTTATAGAGGATGCCACAGTAGTTCAACTGACAAACTTGTGGTCCTCTTTTAACATCTCTAGTTGATTAAGTCTACTTGATTAACATGTTCATATGAGCTATATTTAAGGTCTAACCATTTGCATATGTAATAACAAAGGGAGCACTTTCTTATCACAGGCTGTTATTTCAAGACCCTGCAGAGTATTGGTCCAGCCAAACCTTGAACTACAACCTCCGACACAACAGACTTACAGTCTCACCTACTGAGGTAACTGGGAAGTGGTGATTCTAAAGGTTTCTTTATTTTGAACTAAATCAGGTTGATCTACAAAGGGAAATAATTCAACTACATGCACACAACTGCACAACAACTGCTGTAAGAATGGATTTTTAAAGGTTTTAAGAGGGCAAGAGGTGTATTTACAAATGCTTTTAATTAAAAATACAGTATTGAGAGTACATGTAGGAATAAATCCCAGCTGAGTTGTCTGCGTTCCTTGAAAGGGATAATGGAGCAACTCTTTTTGGTTAGCATTTTCCTAGCAGGGGCTGAGTACAATGTAGATTTATCATGTTGATTGAACCTATAGAATTGCATCATGTGTTCAACTAGTAGCATTTATGATAAATTTAAAGTAAAGAAAATTCATATTTCATGAGTTCTCTTATCAGAATCATAGGAAATGCTAATCAAAATATTATTTTGAACCCTCAATTCTGATTGGCTAAACTTGAGTTTGTTCTGAAGGTCAACTCTGCTGGATAGAAAGTAAATTTGTTGTTGAGTTCTTGTACACACACCTGTGATTGCATAGAAGGTCGGCCAGCTGGTTTGATAAGGGGTGGAGGGCCTTGAAGTGGAGATCCAGACTGACTTACGCGAGATACTGATTGAGACTGTAGCGGGGGTGGTTGGGAACGTTGTGGCTGTGCTCCTGAAGGCTTCAGTAAAGGAGGAGGCTGGCAAGGAATACCTAGAAGATCAGTGTGATAACCTCAGTCATTGTATGTAAAGGAGTTGAAATGAAGACATAAATAAATGCATCAGTGATAAATGAATAAATGAATGAATGAATGTCATTGAATAGATGGATGGATGGATGGATGGATGCATGCATGCATGGATACATGGATGGATATATGAATGGATGGATGGATGGATCAATGAATCACTGAATGAAAAGGCAAACCTTGAGAGCTAATAGGGGGGGATGAAGTTTGAGGTCCAGGAGATGAAGTCAAACCAGGCGAACCAGTCATATGAGAAGAAATCATTTCACTATCTTTTTTGTCACTACTCGTAATCCCTTGTTCTGCTTCATATTCTTCCAAAACTTCTTGCAAGTTGTATCGGCGACGATAATTGACAAAAAAGTTACGACACTGACTGATAGTTTTATTGCCGACAACCTCTGCCATTGCTTGGAAATCTTTACCATATTTTCTCACAGCTGTGGATACAACAACAGCCAAAGGATACATATTTAGTGAAGATACAGTGTATATACAGCAAGAAACATCTATTAGCTTACATATATATCAAACAATGCTAAAACATTGTAAATATAAAAAAATATTATACATACATTGAACAGCTAACAAAAGCTCCTTATCAGTCCATCTGGCATTGTTTTTATTGTTTAACTGCATATAGACACAGAAAAGACAAAACATTAGAGTACATCCAGTCTGTTTGCAAGTGGGTCTATTTTCCTTCAGTCAGCCACTGTTTGATTACAACAGTATGTGTAACATGGATCATGGAAAGCGTAAGGCAGAGGGGTTATAGCCCCCCATTTTTTCATTTTTCCCTTCTATTATGTTCTAATCTTAGTATATGTACCACTTAGATAATTTTTTAAAGGTATTACTGGACAAAATTTCTTCAGTGGCAATTGTATTTTTCAAATGCATAATTACATATTTTAACAATACAATATGTCAGGGTTGCTGGAACCAGGGGGGAGGGGGTAGGGGTACTTTAGCTCCCACCCTTTCCCACTTTTTATGAGAATAGGACACTTGCATTATGGCATCATTCACTACCACTACCAGACTCCCTTGCACTCTTTCTTTAGTTCAGTTAATTAGCACCAATTGTCTTACTTTTCTCATGAGGAAATACAAATTTGAATAAGAAAGAAAATTTGCCAAGCATTTTTGAAGTGGCAGTAAATTGACACCATCATGCAAAGGGTCTATTGACATCTTTATAAGTTTTGGTACATTGTTCAAATTCAAATTATGTAATATTATTTAATTACTAAGTTTGCACACACTCCTTTCTCTTTTAAAAAGTGCTCCACGGTCTCATTATGTATATGGCTTCTATAATCTAAAAAATACTCACGTCCCCCAATCTAAAGTCATCTATGCCCACTTCCATCTGATATTTATTTAGGCTTATAATCTGCTTGTTGGCCTGAATCTGACGTTTCAGGTTGTCAATCTCATTGTCTAGTGGCTTAATATGGGCGTCGCCATGAGTGTAGGAAATAGACATCAGACTGTCATGTGACAGATTCATGCCCTAAAATAAATAAAAACACAACATTACATCTTTGATCAATAGACCTAATCCAGTTATCAACACATGATATAATCCCTTTTGTATGACTTCTTTTTTACCAGGAAGGATGGAGTTTATAAAAATAAAATGAAGTCTAAGATGGAAAAACTCCAGACCCAATCACTGTCAAGAACTCTTTTACAGGGCTCGAAATAAGCTCTAAATGGCAACTAGCAAAATGATAATGCTTTTCTTGACTTTGATAAAAATAATCTACTAGCAAACATTTGCAACAATTGTACTCAAGTTCATGCGATTTCCTATACTAATCAAATTATTTTTATCCTTATCCTTATCATTATAACTATCACTATCATCATCATCATCATCCATATCATTACCATCATCATCATCCTCATCATCATCTTCCTTATTGTTATTATTATCTGGTAAAATGATTGGTCAGACAGTGACTTACTTTTGGTGGTTTTCTCTTGAGTTTATTTCCTCTTGGCCCAGTTCTCTCATCCCTTCCACCCATCCTTGGCTGTCTCATTGCTCCTGTGCGCCTTAAAGAAACAGAATAATAACCACTGGTTATTTTCATGTGACAAGTGGTGAACAGTATTCTGTAACTTTGTAAGAAAGTACAAATTTGCACAAATGAGTAAGTTTCAGTAGACCTCAGTAGACCGTAGACCTACAAACTCAGGCAGTGTACTCAGGTGGGTAACATGATGGGGAGATGCAACATATTTTTTTTTTGGGTTGACAATTTTCGTTCCTGGTATTTTTTGGGTCAAAAGACCAGCCACATATTTTATAAGGTCTCGAAATGAAACTCGTGTTTTTTGGGTCGTCACATCTCCGAGTTCGATTTTTGTATCAGAAAATTATTTGTTTGATTTTTTTCAGCAAGGCGTGAGTGAGTTCCGTAAACTGAATTCAATAAATCAGTTTTGAAGTATTTAAGTCTCGTATTTTTTTGTGTCAGAAATTTGGATGCCATGTATTTTTTTGGGTGTAAAATTTCAGGTTTGAGTATTTTTTTGGGGGTTGCAATATGAAGCTCCATCGGACCCCCCCCCCCCCCATCATGTTACCCACCCGAGTACACCCCCTGTGCCTACGAAACTTTGCACTAATTTGTACTCTACTTTTTCCTAATGAGTTTCAATATTTTTACAAAATCTACTTCAAAACCTTTACTTACTTCCAGTAATGATAACAAGCAGTACATAGATTGCCTTTGGGAGTGCTTTGAATGTGCTGACTTTGAGCACCACAATGGATATTGCAACAAGTGCTTGCCAACAGTAGTGGCTGGTTCTGGAACCATGAAAAACATGTTAGCAACTGCTTAAGCACTACTTAATGAACAGTCAAGTATTCATAATATACTCACAACTGGTTGTTTGGTTGGTGTTTTGGGCTTAATTTGTCCATTGGCTTGACTTTGCTAAAAAAGAATTCAAAGAAACATTTAAGGGACATCAAAGGAAGAAAAATCCTAATTTGTAGAACGGCTGTTTCAAGCTTCCAGAAATACATAATACACAACTCTGATACCAGACCTCTAATTCATATGCAAAGTTTTAAATTTGAATGCTCCAACACCAACAGCACAATGACAAAGATTGATGGTCATAGGTTGAAATGTTTGAAAAAATATTTAGACGTTTCAAGTCATGAGACAACAAAATTTAACTAGAACAAACATTGTTTTCTTGAAAGAATAAAAAAATTGATACATAAATAGATATAAACCTAAAACTTTTTACCTCTTTATCAGGGTCAAAGTCACTGTCACTGGTGTCGCTGTTATCACTATTTGGTTCCCTTACAAGGAAAAAATATATCAAATTTCAAAAAAAATATCAATTTTATCATTACACTGAAACAACCCTCTGGACTGTTACCTTTGTAAAGGCACAGCTTACTCACAGAAGTTTTGCGGAGAGAGCAAAATGGAAAACCTGGAAAATTTTCTTAAATGGAAGGAGACCGAACAAACTCTACTCATATGGGCTTCTGAGTTTAGGAATCAAACCTGAAACCCCTGACTTGACAAGTGAGTGCACTTATACCATGTCACCCTTGATTTCCTATTTTTAACACTGTATCTCATCTTTATCTTACTGTATGTATTTTTTTTTTAATTTGGCAATAAGAATTATATGCCAACCAATTAACTGACTATAAAATCCTTGCAAATGCTATTTAATAATTATTCGCTGAAGGTGAAAGATTATCTGTGGAATATTTATCGAGTGAATATTCACCATAATCACTGAGCCTGAGGGGGATAATGGTTTTAGTATGATCTTATATAAGACTTATGTGCCAGAGAAAAGTTGAAATTCAGGAAAATTCTGGCAAACTTTAGAAAATGTCATCATTACTGTTCAGGTAGTGATTAGCATCTCAGAATCACTGGTCATTCCACCAATCTCTATATTCAAGTCTAAAATTATACTAATAAAAATTTTATCTTCATATATATCTGGGCCCTTTTGTACAAAGGGTGGATAGTGCTATTCAACAGATAAATCCTCATCCAGTGGATAAGTTGAGGCTGTTATCCAATCAATTTATCCGCTGGATAAGATTTTTCCATCGGATAGCGCTATTCACCCTTCGTACGACTGGGTCCTGTTTAATAACGAGACATGTGACAATGGACTTACATGTACTCTTTTACTGCCAACCGCCTTGCCTGACGATCAATCAGACTTGTCCTACTTCTAGTCTTCTTCCAAGAATAATAATACTTGACCAAGCTGCTGACAGCTTTATCTGGCAACTAAATACCATGACAAGAAATAAACATTATTGATGTGATTTTTACCGTATTATTTACATATCTTTATTTGAGCTAATTTTTCTGGCAGGTTAGAACCCTAAACCTCATTAGTATAGTTTAAACCCCAAATGAGATTTTGAAATTTTTTCAATAAAAATATGTTCACTTGAACTTTGAGATATTATACCAAGCAATGTAAACACCTAATATTTACATACTGTTATTTAAATAACACATAATTTGGTAGAAAAAATAGACTGGTTAGGAACTGGCTAGCTGGTTCAAGTATTAATTTGAAGGGGGAAAAAGAGAAGTAATTTGAAAAAAAAAAAAGATATAGTTTTAAAGACTCTTAAATTTCCCAATTTTTTCAAGCCTAATAAAAAGACCAACCTTTGAATAGGCATACATTAAACTAACTGGATTTTTTACTTAAATAAGGCATGCCAAAGTCTTCCTAACCCTACTGGTACCTGGCATGTGTTATATCTTATATAATATTTTTTGTCTGTAAAGAATTGATCCTTTAAAATAACAATTGTGTTCAAAAACAATTTAAAAAAACCCCTTTCATTCCAGATATAACATGAGATTTTAAATTTCTGCTAACCATCTGCTGAATTCTTTCATTCATTTCATTTTTTCCTCTTTTGCATATCATATAAACATTCCTTTTTTTAGTAAAAAATATAATCCCAGATATATGATGAGATTAGAGGTGTCTACTAACCATCTTCTGAATTCTTTCATTTATTGAACATTTGCTGAATTATTCCATTTATTTCATTTTCATTTCCTTCTCATCCTTTCATTAATTTTTCCTTTTTCGTATTCAAATATTAAAATTGAACCTTTTAGTAAACTTCTAATCCTAGGTATATAATGAGATTAGAGAAGCATACTAACCATCTGCTGAATTCTCTTGAAGCTTTTTCCATGCGACCCAAACGCTTGCTCAAAAAGCACTTTATCCTCCATACTCCACTCATCTATTAGGAAATAATTACACAAAAATGTTCAGACAAAACTCTTAAAGTTTTTGCCCTTTTTGCCCTCTGTACTGTGATATAAACAACTGAGAACTAAAGAGAATGAGAGAAGCAAGCTTAGGAACATGAGGCATAGCTGTATGCATAGAATCTTTAAAATTTAACATTTGAATGTTGTTTGTTTCAAATAGTGAATGTAATGCAGGTTAGTGTGAGTGGAGTGAACCTTATAGAGAAGCCCCTCAAGCAAGTGAGTTGTAAAAAAATATACAAAAAAAATTTTTTTTGGCATAACAAGTTTGCTTTTCCAAGAAAACTTACCAGGAAATGGTGTGAAATTGGACAAATCATTTAAAGATTTATCCACGTTGTGTTTATGCCAAAAAAGCATACCAAGGGCCTGAAAGACATAGTAATATAAAATTAGTGAAACACAGAAGTGAATAGGTACAGAAAATACTTGGAATATAAAATTTTACTGATTGCTTGTATTTAGTCCTTCAATAATAGAAATGAAGCAGTAAAAAATTTACATTATTGATTTTATTCAAGTACGTTTTTGTCATATATTCAGTATAATTTGTTTTGACTGATTTTATTCATTCAATTCTAATCTATTATTTTTATGCATTATTAAAATCATTTGATATAATTATCATGTGGGACAATATATATGCATCATTTGCATACACTCTTCTCATTATATTAACCACAGTTTTACTTTCTACCTGTATGTATAATTTATTTCATATTTCTCAGATTATTGTATGCCAGTAAAATACATTGACATCAAAGACACAACATTATTTGTCCATTACATAGAAGAAGATAATATGGATATGGGATTAATACAATATTAGTTGAGAACAGAATTCATAATATGAGGTCTAGACCTTTGAGTGAGCAAACAAAAATAAACAAGAATAATAAAGAAAAAACTAGGAATGCATGTGTTTGTTTTTCCCTTTGTCTGAGCAAAACAAAAATAAATATTAAAAATAAAGAAAAAACTTGAAATACATTTTTTTTCCTGTCTGAGCAAAAATAAAAATAGAAAAGAATAATAAAGAAAAAACTTGAAATGCATGTGTTTGTTTTTCCCTTTGACTGAGCATAATAAAAAATAAATAAACAAGAATAATACAGAAACAACTTGGATTACATGTTTTTTAGCTACTTACTGTATAAACAGACATTCTGGTTTATGACAATATAGTTGCATCAAACATTTTGATATCATTAATAAAATATCAATACAGCCAATAAATGAAACTTCATATTAGTTTCTGTGTGTAATGGTTGAAATTCTGATCAATTAAAATGAAATTGCATTTAGGTAGAGAAAAATACATTACAAGTGTACTAAAATTCTTTTAATCATGTGCACGATAAACATTATTTGAAGAATTTAAATGGCCAAAATAATTTAATGTTGCATAAAACGTGTTTGATTTTATAAAATAAGATTACATACCTGTTCAACATTGTAGCCATGTTTATCTTTAGCTGTTCGTAAATATTCTTCCACTGTAAATAAATAAAAGAAGTTAAGGTTTTTTAATCACCACTAATTTATAACAACTTGATATTTATCTTATGGTACAACAATATTATTTCAATCAGGAAATAGGTTTTATTTTTTTCTTATTTTCAAACTTGATAAGAATATTTTTTGAGACACATTTCATTAGAAATATCAAGGACCTAATACTGGACATTTTGACAACATCTTGTCATTGTTTACAACAGTTTAATGAAATACAAAGTTCAAGGATTCATTTTGATACCTTTTCAATAATATCTGACTTACGTACATTTTGAATCTGGGATATCCTTGGCCGGTGCCCATACCAACAAGGCATTGTGCTTTGAATTTTCATCTTGGTCTGCAAACAAATCAGATATAAAAATTGATTGAATACTGGCTGTATATTGTATTATTAAAACACAATTTAATTTTGACTTAGTTAACTATTACCAAAATAAACAAAAATTAACTCATTAGTACAGCAATAAATATACATTATGCAACAAACTCAATAACAAAGTTGAAAAGTAAGCTGAGTTTGGTGAGAACAAAGGGCTTAAAATAATGGCTGGTAAGTCACTGGTCATGATAGCTGGCCAAATTAGTTTTATCTCAGTCGTACCTTGTTTCTGGCTCAATGCTACTGGTCAAAATAACCAGCAAGGCAAGGATTTAACCAGACAAGTTCCAATTCTTAGGGAATATTGTCCGATGTCTGGCTGTTGTTTTAAGCCATGGAATACTTTCAATTTGCTATTGATGATTGATGGTGATGAAGATGATGACTGGAGGATGATACTAGGACTTTTAATATTACGTCCCATCTATAGAGATGTTAAACACAGAGGCCCACAATTTTATCTTGTAACTGTCGTGTGTCACCACCTCTTTACGGATACATTTTTATTATGAATATTAACACTGATGATGATGATGATGATAGAACATTCTTATACAGTGCAATTTTACCATTGTATATTTCATAATCACAGTTGGGAAACTCCTAGAGGTAGTATACTAAGCTGCCAATGATTGGTAGATCAGTAGTCACTGATGCATCGTCAAGTCCATGAATTGAAACTGAGACACCTGGTGTGAGAGGCAAGTGCACTAACCACTATTTACACCATCATCACTACAGTGTATCTTTGATTCCCTAGTGACTTAGGAAATGCTTGATCACAGCTAAGAACTAGAAAACTATTTTCACAAATAATTTATCTGAACAAGAATTAAAGGGAGAACAATTGTGTTGAAAATAGAAAGATTATACTACGATTTAGGTTTAGACAAATAGATGTACTTAATTTTATACACGTAAGAAAGCAATAGTTTTCAAAGTTCAAGGTAATCATATACAAAAAAAGGTTTTTTTGAACATTTATTTAAATGATATGAAATGATCCTCCTTGTTAAACAAGTCTAAATCTTGTATTAGATATTATTATGTCAAACATCTTCACATGCTGAGATACTGTTGGTAATATGTTAGGAAGTTTACGATTCTAAGATGCTTAGCAAGTTAATTCTACTAAAATAATGAATCTATTGCGTACAAATATTATTGTAAGGGAGTCTTTATGGAATCATATTTTGACATCAAAATCAGATTGCCATAATTTTCTTGATATATGAGAACCTCATAAGGTCATAATAAGTTTTTTTACAAGTCAGAATAAATTGTAAGTTGTTTCGCAAAAATTTGATGCTGACAAGGTATTTGAAAAAAAGAAGCAGATGTTGAGACTAAGTATCAAACATTTTCTTAAAATTGTATTGCTATGGTTCTGATTCTGAACCATCTATCATACAAAATTAAGATTAAAATAAAGATTATTTCAGCTTAATGAAGGTTAGCTCTTCCAACAGATATTCACTATGCAGGCTTTCTTGAGCGACAGAAAAAAGCCAGTAATGAAAAATTATTATTCCTTAGCTTCCTATCTATTATGAACAAAATAATAATGTTGTTTGCCATACATATGGTTCTCAGATCATAAATTCTTGTAATAAGTATATTGAAATAATTAAATTTCATAAAACCATACTCTAATGAATATTGAATACTGTAGTATATTTCCTCATAAGGTAGAAAGAAAGAAATAACTGGGAATCCAAAGCAGACAAAATCCAAGTTAGTCATAATTTATGCATGAAATAGAAAAATATAATTTCAATCATATGTTTTATTTTGCTCTAAATATCAAAATTTAAAATGCTTACAAGGGAGTTCATTCGAACTAAGGAAAATTAGGTTTACTTTCAGTATTTTAGGACAAAATTGCAATGTTTCCAAGGACGCTTCCCATTTTTTATTTGTTCCCGTTCCCATTCATCCAAGCGTTTCAAAATGGCGACTGCTCGAGTGTGTGGTAAAATGTTGTCGTATTTTCGCAAATAACTTCACTAAAACAGCACAAAGTTTCTCAAATACATTCAAAATTGTTAGAAAAAGTATCTAATTAAGTAAATCTACATTAAAAAGGATTTAAAAACAAGCATTCCGTGACAAGAATTAAAGTTTTTAAATCGTGACTCCGTGACAGAACGGCGGACCTCGAAATAAAAACTAGATTTTGGATCGATTTAAAACCCCTTTATTCCTAAGCTACGAAAGCAGTTAACAAAACACCGATACGTCATGGAATGTCAATAAATTCCAGTTGCAAATTGTATGTAGGAATGACCAATTTTTCTAATTTATAGGGTCCTATTTATAATTACTATAACTTTAGACTTCTAACTTGATTTGTAGTTACGGCTAGCACAAGTTTTTTCTGTCATGAGGGTTCAAATGTCTATTTAGCACGATATTTACCGTTAGTATTTACTGCTTAATAGATCGATATTGGGTTTATCTTTAAACTGAAAGACTTCTGTGATCTATTTAAAGTTTAATGACTCTTTCCTTACCATCCGAAGCCAAGTCGGGGATGACCGCTTGGTACTCGGAGCCAACTCTCATGCCGGGTTCTGCAAAACAATTTTCGGTAGTTAGTCTATCAGCATCCGAATGAACAACTCGATACAAAAACTGCTTAGTTCAGGGGCTTGTTTTAGTTTTCTAACCATGGTATTCCTCATCACTGTCGTTTTGGTCAGCTCCTTGCACGTGTTGAGCTTTGTCTTGGACTTCCATCGGCTCTCCTCCATTCTTCCCATTTTCCACTTTAATACCCATCATCGAACTCCTGGCACTCGACGCCATACTGTCACCCCACAAGGGCTACAAATCACTTCAAAATATCTTCACTAACTACCCAAAGTACTGAGGAGAAAGGGGCTTAAATTCATTGAAAGCCAGCGGAATAATTTACCGCTTTTCCTCCACTCTGTGAGTGAAAACCTCAATACCGTCAACGAGTCGAGTAAACGATGCTTTAGTCACGTGGTCTGCATAATCATGGTGGTAAATTATTGTAGCGATAATTTATGCGCATTTTTAAAAACCCTCTTTTATTAATAAAATCAAAATGTATATGTAAAGTTTTCTAACGAGGAAAAAAAAAGTGAAGGTAGATTTTGAATAGTGCCAGTGGTTTATTTATTTAGGCAACTCGTTTGACTCATAATTTGTTTCCTTGAGCGATTACATCACGGCAGTAGCATCCGGCAGTACCTGTCCTTGCCACGATGGAATTATCTATTCCATTGTTTTCTTATTTACGAGGAGTAAAGAAAAATTACCTTGGTGAAAAGTTGAATAATGAACCTCAAATTATTATATCAATTAGATATAGGTAGTTTTAAATGAATGATATTCCAAGGGGTGTAAGACGTGTAAGATAGTTCAATTCTCAGCTGACTGCCCTTTATTAATAATGCATTAATTTAGTAGAACTATCGAACTGAAGATTTAACCATTTCATTTCCAAAATGCATAGATAAACAGGTACAGAGGCAGAATTATTTCCTTTATTTAACATCTAAGCGTTCAACGAAAGCGGTTTCATTCCAAAATCAGCTTATCACTGATTTTTTTGTATGTATTTTCTTTTTCCTTTTTCTATTTATTATTATCTTACTATTCTGTAAATATTTCTTTCTTTCTTTTCTCCCTTTCTTTCTCAAATCCTCACCCCAGGAGGTTAAGTTCAGTAGCTAACTGGAAATAACGCGCAAAAAATATTAAAAGATTCATCGACTTTTCGGCATTGGAATAACACATCTTTCATCCATTAACTTTGATCCAATAGACCTAACTCTACTTTAGTTACATGCAAGGATGACGTAGCAGTGTTCCGCCGCTTAATTGACACACGGTCATCCGATCGACTCGATCAGTCGCGCGCCTTTTTTCATTCAACAAAAATATATCATATGATTAAATATTGATCAAAAGAGTGAGACATAACCGGAGAAAGTAGAGGCAGTTAGTGTTACGGTTACGTAATTTCTTTGTTTACTATACTCATTTTACAAGATGATCATCATCGGTTGTGTCCCCTTTCTGTGTGGCAAGACTGCAGCGGTAAAACTTGATTATCAATTAAAAACATTAAGCTTTTACCTAGATTTTGTTACTATATATGTCAGGGATTAGGATTAAGCAACATAAAAACCTTTTAGAGGCTGACCGCTTTTTTTCTATTATCTTGGGGGGAGGGGGGTAGGGGGATATAGGAATTCTTTTTTTGGAGGTGGTGGGTGGGTACGTAGTCACGACTTTGTGCGGATATAGTTATTTTTATAAAATTTAAGTTCCAAGTAATGAAGGGCTTTCGTTATTCATTGAAATTTTCTTAAAGAGGGAGGAGAGGGTGAATTTAAAAAAAATTTCGGGGGAAAATCACATCACCCCTTTATGACATCAGTGATTGATAGTATAAATGATCGTCTCGTTCAATCTGAAACTCATCTCTACGATATTCGGATTGCCTGCGTTATATATTATAAAAATCAATCCAGCAAGTAAATTGTATCAAGCCATTCATTAGTACAAAGGCTTTGAAGGCTCGTTAAGCGCGGGGAGGCGCACGCAGGCAGAGCGGGAATAGAGTTTCTTTTTCCATCGATTAATTGTTCCTCACCACTTTCTAAATTCAATTTCCAATTAAATAGGGATGGGAAAAGAACTCCTTAAGCTACATCGTGCAGGTCTTAGGTCAAGGCCACGTCATTGGAGTATGGCACACCAAATGCTCTCAAAAATTTTCCAAAGCTTGAGAAATTCAGTTAACCCTGGGTCTCTGCGGTCGATTGCTGACATGAGAAATAAATGAGAAAAATTGACTTCTCATCAGTATTAACCTAGAATACAATCGGAACAGGAAAGAAACAAAAAGGAGGGGGAAAGGAAGAAAGAGAAAAAGAGAGTAACAAACTGGAGAACGAAACATTGTGACGCAACATAGTGCATGCAGAGTGCTTTTCTGATCGATATCATTGCGTGCACCAAAGTAATAATAATTGTTACTGAATCTGTCATCTCTATTAAGACACTTGAACTATCTCTCGCGCGATCGCTTTCAAAGTTTCACGTTGCATCAGGTTACGAAGTCAAAACCTTTGTATTTCAGGGATCAAGAAAACTCGAATCAAGAATGAACGTTTTCTTAAAGGAAATTATGTTTTTATAAAATTAGATTAGTAATTAGATACTGTTTTGGCCCGTTTTGGGCCTCGGGTCCGGGTGCATCTGCTACCGTCAGTGTACTTTGAGTTTTTCCGGTTTGGCGCTGAGTGGTGGGTGCACGTGGGTCTTCGGCGCTCAAATCGTGCCTTAGATATCAAATCCTGCAGAGGTCTATTTTTTATTTTACTGTACAAGTAAAGAAAAAATTCTTTTTGCTTCTAGGAAAATGGGGAAAGGAAAAGTGACAAAAATTGAACACGGAACTGGAAGGGAGGGGAGAAGATTCCCTGTGGGCAGAGTCTCCCTTCAATTTCTCTAACCAGTGGACAGGATAAAAGGAGATTCTGCTCGCAGGGTAAACTACTAAGCATGATTGATTAACACAACTACTTATACTACTGGTAAATCCCTTATCCTTTATTGTACACTGACACTATATTTCAATGTCGACAAAATAAATAATATTCATTCTTGGAGCTCGTGTGGAGTGTTCATAATTCATTGGGGGGG